GGTCGAGAAGCCACGACTACAAACGTGACATTTGAACGGCCGCTCTTTCGTATGACTGCAAGTAACGACGGTCACACACGCACCTCACCGGGCAAAACAAATCCGCGCGCTACCGACGCGTTACCTGCGGTAATGGATCTCCAGGGCGCTATTGCACGCGAAGCTTTTGAAGCAGATGTTGCAGGTGGTGCTCGAGCGACTGATAACCAGTCCTAGATGTGAGCCGGAAGACAGCGCGGCCGCTGGATTTCCGAACGGCATCGCATGGTGCATCATCATCTGAGGAGTCACTTGTAGCGAATGTGATAGCATCAGGGAACCGACCGGTACAGTGGACCCAACTGGCTCGTTCGGGTGCGAAGGGAATGATTTCAGACCATGCATGCTATCCGAGTACTCGGCTGCAAAACGCTGTTCTGCTTCGGACACAGACCCTCCGAAGAAGTCGTCGCTGCGCGACGCGGCAGCGTTCAGGGAGAAGGGCGGCGTACGTTCGCCGTTGCCGTTTTGGGTGATCGACAGGGAACTGCCGTTGCTGGAACGGCCGCTGTTCAAGCCCGCAAGATCCAATTTCGGTTTCGGATAACTAATGCCGTCGAAATCCGTAGACGAACCGCGTTCGTCTGGCAACACTTGAATCGGACGCATGGCGTGCAACCGGATGTGCTGCTGCAGGATGATCGCGTTCGTAAATTTCTTCTGGCACACCGGACACTGGTGAAATATTCTGAACGGCGGCTTCGTCCGGTGAACACCCATGTGCGTCTTCAGATTACCCTTAACAATGTCATGTATCAAAGTGAAACACAGAGTACGCGAATCGCGTCTAACCTTAGTTGTGAAAGCACGCTGACATATCTTGCACTTGAACGGCCTTTCACCAGTGTGCGTGCGATAATGCATTTGCAAGGCGCTAAAATAAAATCGTCTTTTGAAACCCAGTCGTTAAACGCAAAAAACGAATCATAAATAATTAAAAGTTTTATTACGGTCATACTGACAATGAACATCGTTGTGGGGTTCGAAAGCTTCGCGTTTAATATATCCTTTTCTGGATTAGAATTATTTAGTCTCACTCGTGATCATGGTTTGCAGCAGTGTACATGTCGCATCGAACGTCACAGACAGTTAAATGATCACAAGTATTGCAAACGCACGCTAAGAAATCAGACTAAAGGGGAGGGGGTGAACGAATTATGCTTCTAATGCTTTAAATATCCGACAGAGTGCGATAGTGTCCTCCTGATATCTCACTGTGGTGGCAAGCAGATGGTGTGCAGAGGAAAACAGTATAAAAGACGCACAACGACGCTTAGAAAAAATGCACATGCTGCATTTACCGCTCGCAGTGGTACATCAAATTTCTAGACTACGACAAGTTCTGATGCCATTCATGTCGAAATAAAAAAGATTTAAACATGGCATACAGATAATCATAAAAAGTATGTA